AGAAAAAAAGGCCCAGAGAGTTTCTAAGTAACTTACCCAGGGTCGGGGTGCCTGGCTGGCTCTGTTGGTTGAGTGTCTGACTCTTGGTTTGGGCCCAGGTCATGCTCTCGGGTCGTGAGATCGAGCCCCACATCAGGCTCCGCACTCAGCAGGGAGTCTGTCTGCGTGAAGATTCTCTTTCTCCCTCTGCACCTCCCCTCACTTCCTCTCTCTCTATTTTTCTCTCTAACACATCTTTAAAAAGCCAGTAACTTATCCAGGGTCACGTATCTGGTCTACACAGGGCTGGAAACATACCCATGTACCCACACAGGGATGCCTCGGGGTCTGCCTGGCCCGTGTCACGTCCTTGGACATTCGTGCGTCTGTCCATCATCCCATCACGGAGCGGCGCAGAGCTGCTCTGCCATGCCTTTCCCAGGAACTATTTATTCCTCCGTTGATGATTTTGCTTTACTTCCTTCTGCTGTGCGTGTTGTCGGAATGTCTAGAAAAATCTGACAGCTGGCATTCCATTTAGGGACAACATTTGGGGGACGTGTCTTGAAAGGGCTCACACAGTCTTGCTGCACTTCTCCCCAACTTCCAAATATAATGTGATTTCTCCGGCGACGAAACGAAGAATGAGTAATGATGGCGTGCTGTTCTGCAAGGAGTCTGCACCGCCCACATCTGGCCGAAGGACCCAGAGGAACCCATGAAGAGGCCAGGGCAGGGCTGTGTCAGAGAGCCCCAGGTTCAAGTCCTTTCCTGTGATTTGACTTTGGACAAAGGACACCACTCGGCCGAGTCTCACTTTCCCCATCTCTACCAGTTGGGCTGCAGAACTACACGCTCAGCTCAGCTGCCCAGGTTAACAATTTCCAGCGCCTGGCCGGCAGGACGGGCAGGCCCTCCTGTCCCTTGACCTCCTGGACTGTATCCTGTGAGTTAATCAGTAAACATACAGGCAAGTCCACCTTCACATACGGTATCATTTGTTACGGGAACCCTGCGCACGGATCCGGTGACGGGCAGGTAGCGGATTCAACCACGAGACCACTCAGTTGCACATGCGCAGCAACCGGAACCAAATAACAAAACAGGAATTTGCCTCTCAGTGTCCCTGAGCTTCTCCAAATGCAAAGTGTCTGGTGATCGAGCCTAAGGGGCGAAACGGAAGCACAACGGCTTGAAACTCTTAGGTAGCCTGGGAGGTGGGTGTGCACTGTGGGAGTCCCAGACTCTTGTATCTAATGCACTTTGGTGGTCGCCAACCTGTTTATTTTTCCAAATGGTTAGAACACAAATTGGGAACACAGACACCTTGGAACGCTGAGCATAATTTGTGTGAAAAAGAGAATTCAGACAGATCGCAGGGAATGGGAGTGCCTGAGAGTCATGCCAGGTATGCTCACGGGATCGGGGCCATACTGGCTGCGGGCTACGGGCCGTGCTGGAGAGGCCCTGACTCCCGGGTGCTTCCGTGACCTCGTGGGTGCTCCCAGAGCACCGAACACAGTGGATAACAGCCGGTCAGCTTCCTGACCCAATCCGGGTAACGTCTCATCCAGAAGCCAGGTGTGTGAAGAGAGGAAAAGTGCCCCTTGGAGCCCTCAAATTGGATTCTTCTGGTCTCTTCCCTGCCTTAATGAGGTTTTCTGTAGGTGCCTTCCACACGCGGCATGAACCCCCATCTCAGAGTCTCTGGGAGAACCCGGAAAGCTTCCTTCTGTGGAGCCTGGAGTCTCATCCTGTTGTCTCCTGTCCTTTCCCGGAAGAAGATGGAAAGATTCCTTCTTGCTGATGATCACGGAGCTCTGTCTTCCATAAAGACAAAGCAGACCAGAACGTGTGAGGAGCTGGGGTGTGTGTGTGTGTGTGTGTGCGCACGCGCGTGCCTGCTCATTCATTTATCTGTGGTCTGTGTTGGCCTAAAACTCAAACAAGTGAAGACAACAACATCAAGTCAAAAAGAAAACGAAAAGGAGAAAAAGAAACACAGAAACCTCTCCCATCATGGGGCCGCAACCCCCTGGGCTCCTGGACCATTTCTCCTTTACGTTTCCATTCATAGGGAAGGAAATTTGCGTCCTGACTCAGTGGACAGAAACGGAACCTCGGTACAAGTCTCAGACCTGGGATCTATAAAAGCGAAAGCAGTCGTGATGTAAAATGATGCTGCTGGCACGTGGAAGGTCTCCTGCCCTTGTCTCATTGGCTCTGTCACACGGATTGTGCAAATCTTGGGGTCTTGACCCTAACCTTGCTGTGCTCCGAGCTCTTTGATGTGACCTTCTTTAAATTCCCCTGTGCCACACAGCATCTGCTTTTTTTTTTTTTTAAAGATTTTATTTATTCATTTGACACACAGAGATCACAAGTAGGCAGAGAGGCAGGCAGAGAGAGGGGGAAGCAGGCTCCCCACTGAGCAGAGAGCCTGATGCGGGGCTCGATCCCAGGACCCTGAGACCATGACCTGAGCTGAAGGCAGAGGCTTAACCCACTCAGCCACCCAGGCGCCCCCAACACAACATCAGTTTCACTGACCACCTCCTTCCTTGCTCAGAGACGGATGTGCCCTTTCATCTTTTTAAGGCAAAGACCTACACTTTTAGGTTTTTCTTTCTGAAGGATTCCTTCCTCTGACACAAAGGAGGGCCAGACTCCCAGTCCCCACGGATCTGCCAGCGGCCGTCCGGCTGACTCGCATGGGTATACACTTGCTGCAGCAAAGTTTTAGCAAGAGCAAGAGAGAAGTGCTCCCTGGGTGGGAAGGGAGGAGGTCAAGGCCAGCCATGGGGCCTCAAATGGACTCTTCTAGTCCTAGGGCACTGGTGGGGGGGGGAACCTCAGTGCCTATGTGGCATCTCCTGGACAACTCTGCCCATAAGTACAATCAAGGAAGCCCCTTCTTGAACAAGGAGCGGGCTGTGGGCATTAAATAAATCCACCAGTGACTCTGATCCTACCCAAGACTGGAAAAAACCTGACCACAAAGCAATGAGCTTGCATTTGGGGCCAAACACAGTAATATTTAAAATACAAAACACACACAGAAAACAACTGTCTGATGTGAACACAAGCAAAGTGGATTATGTAACCAAGGTTGCACAGGTCATTCCAAAAAGCAATGTTATAAAACAATGTTTCTTTTACTAAATAAGACCGAAAAGTTTAAAGCATTTAGTGCAGTGACCGGAACTTATCTGTTACCACCCCCCCGCCCCCGGCCCCCGGGTTTCCGAAATGGTGGCTGTTGTCAGTGCTCTGCGTCCGCATCAGTTAAAGCAGACGCGGTGAGACCTCGATTCGGAAAACCCCTCTCAGTCCCTTCCTTTACTAACGTGTGAGCGCTTGGACAATGAAAAGACACTGCTTACAGTTCAGGTTGCCCGTGCACGGTCTGACCTTTCCCAAATTACTAAGACTTGTGGCATTTCTCTGAACAAAACAGTGATCCGCAAATGAAGGCGCTTATGGAAAACGAAATGCCCAGAAATACGCTTCCCACCACCTCAGGAGTGTTTGCTGGAGCCCCTGGCGCCTCCATTATTTGAACCGGGAAAAACTAGATGGGACCAGGGGAGGCCAGTGAAAACTTAGCCCAACTTTCCTCCCATCTCTGCCTCCCTCCCCCCACTCACGCTCCCAGTCATCACCACCCCCAAATCCTGCAGCAAATGGCCTTGACTATGACCGTCCAGCTCTCCCATGGCTCCCACTCCAGATACGGCCACTGATGCTACAGCCCAGGGGTCGTGCACGCCAAGACCAAGGCAGCCTCTGTACCACCACCTTTGCTATTCACAGCAGTTTTGAAAAACTTAAATTTGAATGTCTTCAGAAGGGGCGTTGTTCTCAGGTTGATGCCCCTTCCCACCCACCATGCCCTGTTTCCCAGGCTTGAGTTAATTTTATCCCGTCCTCCTGTTTCCTCTTGTCACAGCCTTTAATCCTGCACACGAAGCCGCCCAGACAGGACCTGGGGGAGTGCAGGGCTGAATGAGCCACTGTGGCCACCTGGACCAACCCCGCCCCGAGCAGACTCCCTGCCACAGTGCTCAGCCGCTGGACCACGGCAGCTCCAAGACTGGACAGCCCAGTGCTATTCTGGTGGCCACGTGACCACTTACCCACTGTGTACACTGAGTTTTTTAAGCGTTCAGAAAAAAGAACAGAAAATAACAGTTTGACCTCTTTAAGGAAACTCAGCACCCACACGTGGAAGATGGCCGGTCGCCGGATACCGTGTTTTAATACAATGCCAAAAAATTCTTTTTCGATGTGTCAGCATTGTTGCGGCAGTTCTGGTTTTCAAAGTTGGAAAGAGGGATTGGATTCTTAAGCTTCCCTGGAACTTTCTACTAATTAGGGGATCGGGTGAGTGGGTTTTTTCTTACGTTTTCTTTCCTGAGCCCCTCACAACAGCCTCTCATGGGTCTCTATTTTGGCCCCAGGACAACCTTATTTCTTCGAAAACCCCGTGGTTAAGTTCACAGAGTCATTTCACGGACAAGATCTTCCTGAGCCGCACCTTCGGGCAGCAGAGCAGAGGTCAGCTGTTCCTCAGGGTCCTGAGAAGTGGGGGTAATTATCCGGATGCTTCTAGACAAGGACGGGCCCTCAGAGAAGGCAGCCCTGGCGGCCAGCGTCACCCACTGAGCCACCGGCCTCCATCCAAGTCGCCGCCAGCCTGGCAGGCGTGGTGGTCGTCCAGCAGACGACCGCGGAGCGACCACAAAGCTGAACATTCAATCCCAGACCTCAGAGGACCCCGGGAGGGATGACACAGTCGCTAGTGACAGGGTCACTAGAGGTCCTGCAAAAATGCAGGGTTTGGGGAGAAAAAAAACCAGAAAGTAAATGACCTGTGGCGTCTGCGCAGCAAGAACCCCGTAGCCTCGGTCCTGAGTTCTCGACCGAGGCACGGCGGCCCGACGGCGAGCACGTTCCGTCCGCGGCGACGCGGCGGTGTCTGCCGCGCCCGGCCCCGGAGGAAGCCGACGCAGGGCACCTACCTCCCTCGAACTCCGCCTGGCAGCTCTCCGACGTCTCCTGCAGGCTCTCCTCCTCGTTGGTGATGATGTTCTCGATGTCCTTCATGGTCAGGTGGTCCCGGAAGGCGTGGTAGAGGATGAGCTTCAGCTCCTCCAGCGTTACCCTCTGCATGTCGAACTGCGGGGACAGACAGGGGTGAGACGGTCTCGAGAGGCAGCTCGGGGCACGGCCGTGGCCTGAACGGCCCAGAGCTCCTCTCCCGGCGCTTCTCCCAGCCTTGCCGGGTAGCCGATGAGCAGTTTCTCCGGCACGTGCAGCTCTGAGCACACGCGGGAACTTGGCAGGGGACCCCGCGGGGACGCAGCAGGGGCGGCACCCGCCGCAGCGGGGAGTCCTGGAGAAGATGCCACCGGCTCCTTTGGCCTCCCACTCACACAGCATCTGCTGTCCCCCCCCACACCCAGCGCACCTCACGTGCTCTGGGGTTGTGGCACACGTCAGACAATGCCCGTGTCTCTAACGATGACAGACTCCCAAGAAGACAGCCATTCCCGTCCTGCTCTCCATATACGTATCTTGTCCGGGCCACCTGGGCGGCTCAGTCGCTTACGTGTCTGGCTCTGGGTTTCCGCTCAGGTTATGATCTCAGGGTCGTGGGATCCAGCCCCCCTTTTGGTACACGGTCAGCTTCTCTCTCTCCCTCTGCCCCCCCCAAATAAATAGATAAATCTCAAGAAAAAGTACATACTTTGTTCTAACAAGATAAAATGCAAGTTCAAAGCCATGTTTATGAGGAAGAGAAGCGAAGGGCCAGTGTAGCTTCCCCTGTCCTGAGGAGAGGATTATACTCTCTCCCTCCATTTCTATCGGGTTTGGTCCTATCGCTCTCTTGGCCGATGGAATGTGAGAAGTCACAGATGCCACATCCAGGGAAAAGCTTTAAGAGCCATTATGTGGTTCGACCAGATGCTGCCTGCCCTCTGCTGTGAGGACAGCATGTCCCACGTGGGGGCTGGTCCTTCCACCTAGGCCCCGGAACAAGGGTCAAGGGCAAGAGACCTGCAGACACCCCACGCAGGGAGGGCGAGGGGGGAAGGACAGCCTCCGTCACGGTCCGCCACAAAGACTCAGGGCTTGTTTGCTATGAAGCCAACAATACAAAAACTAATGCACGGAAGTGGGAGGCTACCCCACGAACTGTCTAAAATATCATATTCCAGCGCCAAGTGGTGGGAAATGAGAAAAACGTTACTGGAGGCTGGAAAGATAAAGACCCATGTACATCACGCAGAAACTCAGCATTCAGTAAGTCATCGCCTGTGAGGGCTGGAAGGACAGATGTGTGTGAAGGCAGTTTGTGGCTTTAGGTAAGAAGTTTGGGGAACAGCAGCAGTTGCAACTGGTTTCCTCTGACGGGTGCCTCAAGACAAAGTGAGCTCAGCGCGAAAGAAATTGTACAGAGAAAGACGAGGATTGTATGATTTCACTTATCTATGGAATCTGAAACCAACCAACCCACCCAAAACCCCTGAACTCACAGATACAGAGAACCGACTGCTGGGCTCCAGGTTTGGGGGTGGACGGCGGGTGACATGGGTGAAGGGGATCCGAGGTACACACGTCCAGCTATAAAATAAGTGAGTTCTGGGGATCTAGTGTACAGCATGGTAACTACAGTTAAGAACACGGTATTGCATATTTGAAACCAGAAGTACAGGTCGTAAAAGTTCTCGTTACAAGAATGTGTGGGGATGGATGTTAATTTATTGTGATGATCTTTTTGCAATATATATAAATATTGAATCATACACAGGAAGCTAACATAATGTTATATGTGAATTGTATCTCATTTTCTTTTAGAAAACAATTAGGGGGAAAAAAAGAGATGAATTCAGGAAAGAATTGGTTGGTTTGCAAGCCAGGAATAGAGAAACCCAGAAATTCCTGGTCTTACAGAACAGAAAGAAGCAATTGTTTCTCACTTTCAACTAGGAAGAGATAAAACTGAGATATGCTATAAATAACAAAATAAACGTAAGTGTTCCTTATTAAAACCCCAGAATGTGTGAAGTGACTCTCCGAAGAAGCCGGTTATTAAGTTTAGAGAGAATTGTGGATGTTAGAGAATACTAGCGAAAATAATTGTGGATGTGGCTATCAGCAGAAGACAATTGAAATCAAAGAGATTTTAAAAAATGACTAAGTTTTTGAAACAGCGATCCCGGGCAGGAGCCAACAGCTGGGGTTAGAAGACTCTATGACTGCTCAAAACCCAAGGTGATCTTCGGGCTCCCAACCTTTTATGGGAACGAGCACTTAGGAGAACAAGCTCTCGAGGATCCAGGCAAGCCCTGGCATCCACTGCCCTCATCAGACGCGCACTAGCAGAGCGGCGCAAAGGATGGATGTCCTGGGTGCTGACGCTGGGAACGGGGCTTGAAATCATACAGTGAACGCAAGAGCGGCTTCCAGGGAGCGGAACTAGGGTCCAACCAAGGAACGGTGCTCACCCCAAGGTCTGTTCAGTAGGAGTGTAGAATTTGTTCTAAAATTTTGAATGCTGTGTGTCTGCCATCTTTTTTTCTCTTTCCTTCTAGAAGGGATTGGTTGGGGGTTAGCCTGAGTCTGTTCTGCCCTTATATGTCGAGTGTGGCAGTGGTGGATTATGCATTCATTCATTCATTCATTTGCAAAGTCTCCAGATCAGGAGGAGCCACACCCAGATTTAACGTACGTCATGAGATTCTAGGTCTTGAGGCTCGGGTCTTACATGCTGTAATTGGATGGGGTTCTTGGGTGTTTCCCTTGGGGAGGGAGGAGTATATTTTGTGGCTGAAGAGAGGGAAATGAGTATTTCTGAGTAGAAGTGTGGGCTGTAATAGGTTTCATTATTTCCACTTCTTTCTTTCCCCAACATGCGAGGGTTCTGTATTTCCCGGCCTACTGATGGAAGGCTTTGGCCGGTTAAATGCTGGTGAAAGTCACATATGAAAATGATGGATGTCTGGAGCCAAGTCTCAGAGCCATCTTGTGTTCTGCCATTTTTTTTTCCTTCTGTCACAAAACCACTCACACCAAGTACGGGCTGCTCCTTCATTCTGGCTCCTGGAAAAAATACAACATGGGGCCAACTCACAAAGGGCATGTGATTTAAGAGAAGCCCTCACGCTGGCCATGAAGACTCTGGGATTTCTGCAGCGTAACTCAGCCAAGAGTGAACACAGAAGAATATTTTAAGTTAGTCTGGATCGCAGTGAGAGGAAGTTCTAGACATTTTTCTCTCCCTGCTTTCTTTGTGAGCAATCCTTACCTTGCTTTAAAAATGCCCTTATTCTAACAAATGAAACGAGGTCACTGTAATTTGCTGGAAATCTAAATGACTCCAGTTCAAAGCCATTTACAGAAGAAAGAACCAGTGAAGTAGGTGTGTGAAGTGGATTTGTCTTCTGCATCACAGTTTACTGGCCGTAGGGTGAATTATGAGACACACGTAGGGCCGACCTGCCGTCTTTTTTGTCTTACTGTCCCTCAGATTTGATTGGGGGGGGGGGCATGTGGTTTTAAGCCCAGGCGCTGTAAGAAGCCTGGGAAAGGGCCAGGTGAGGGTGATGGATGTCCCAGACGAGACAATTTGGACGCGCTCCCGCCCAGCGTGCCCCAGTCAGAGACAAAGAGGGACAAAATCAAGGAGACTCTGGGAATATGAGTAAGTATTTCCTGGAAGACCAGCTGAAGGGACCTAACCAGCTGAGAATTTGCTGAAAATCAGAAATTAGGTGAAAAGAATCAGCCAGGGTCTGGCAAAGTGAAGACAAGACACAGAGCCTAGAAATCTCTATTTTCCTTCGATTCAGCCATCTGGGTCATCGTTTAATAACAGGATACTAACATTTAAACAAAATTAATTAAGTAGGATTCCAAGTTTTCAATGTTGTCGGAATAGATCTCTCTTGCCAATTTGAAAGACATCACACTGTCAAACACCGTAGACTAAATGCCAACAAGTATTCCTTCCATCATCACTCCTGTAGCTTCTTAATTTTTCTCGGGTCTGTTTTGGAATTACGCATTTTCTTTCAGAAAACCAGCCAGAAGATTAGCACGTAACCATGCACGTTTGCATCCCAGTTTTAAATTTCTCTCCGTACTTCCGATACCCCATTTTGTATCGATGATCCTGCTTGTATCCTCTGGGTTTGGGTTTCTATTTTCTTCTGCTGGTGCTGGATCATGGTTAAAGAGCGCAGCGTGTACAACTGCTCGTTCCCGGGAGCAGAAGTTTTCCATTTATGGTATCTCTGCAGGGCCAACTGCACGAACATCTCCACCCTCATTAATCATATCAGGTAGCCTCGCATTTATACTCTCTTCCCTCCTCTAACATCACTTGCTGCTTGATTGGCCAGAGACCACGGGTAACACATCGAAGTCTACGGAGAGTCCTGTCGCTCTCAAGTGAGGCAGCTCCGTAGTGCGAAAGGTTGATTTCTGAACTCAATCAACAGTCATTGAGGCGGACCCCACGCCAGACCCTAACGGAGATGCAAAGGTGCGCAAGACATGCATCTCGCTCTCCAAAGACAAGCCAAGGAGTGGTTTTAATCCAGTGTGTTACGAGCCACGACAGGGGACGCACGGGGTGGCTTGGAAACCCCCTGTGAAGGCAGCAGGTGCTGGGGGCTTCCTGCGGGAGGCGCCCGCCGAGACCGAGAGGAGAAGGGTCTGTCCGGTGAGTGGGGAGGGAGGGGAGAAGGATGCAGCGGCCACAACTCGTGACTACCCCAGGCCCAGGGTGTGAAAGCTGACACGTTCCACGAACGGTTCTGCGTCACACTCTTCTGAGGACTGGGAGCAATGGAAGCAGCGGGGTGAGGGGAGGGTATCGGTCCGTACAAGTATTCAGTTCGGTGACACCAAGTACATCCACGCTTCATGTAACCGGCACCACCATCCATCTCCAGAACTGTCTGTTCTTCCTAAACTGAAACTCCACGGACACTCAACACTAACTCCCCCGGCCTCTCTCTGCTTGCCCAGCCCCTGGCAGCCTCTTCCTGTAGACGGTCTACTTCCTGTACAGTCTGGCATCAATCTGACACCTCATATGTGGCATGACCCAGTGTCTACTCTTGTGACTGCCTGATTTCACTTGGGTTCATCCCTGTGGCCTCCGCCTT